GTGTGGCTGGGAGAGCGTGGAGGGATTGTGTTGAGAAAAGATCTTTGTGTCCTGGAACTTGTGAGAACATTGCACCAAGAAATTGTAACAGCATTGACCAGGATAATAAGAGCTGTACTCAGTTGCTAGGTGTTGGAGGACAACATAGACTGCACTGTGAAAACGGAAAAAATTCCTTTTAAGAATTTTCTGAAAGAGTGAAGGAAACAAGTGTCAGCTTGCTCAGGCTCAGAGCAGCCACTTTCCCCTCACAGGACAGGCAGCTGTTTGATTCTTAGGGCCAGCTAGGGGCAGATTTTCCTGGAAGTTAGTGAAGCTTAAGCCTCACAACTTAAGGAGTCCTCACCTGCGTGGCCCTTCTCAAGTACTGGGGATGGCTGGGAGTCATAGAGTGTTCAGGGAGGAGAGAAATCCAGGCTACCTTCAGGAAGCATTCTTGTCAAAACATTTCTGTTAGGTTGTTAAAGAAATATTAGAAGCAAGGGATCTCAGCAATCAAGATTGCTGGACTTCAGACTTGCATGGGCCTTGTAGCCTTTTTGTTTTGGCCAATTTCTTCCATTCGGAATAGCTGTATTTACCCAATGCCCGTACCCCCTATTTTATCTAGGAAGTAACTAGCTTGCTTTTGATTTTACAGGGTTGCAAAGTGACTTGCCTTGTCTCAGATTAGACTTTGGACTGTGGACTTTGAGTTAATGTAGAAATGAGCTAAGACTTTGGGAGACCGTTGGGAAAGCATAATTGTTTTGAAATGTGAGGGCATGAGATGTGGGAGGGGCCAGGGGCAGAATGATATGGCTTGGCCGTGTGCCCAGCCAAATCTCATCTTGAATTTCCACATGTTGTGGGAGGGACCCAGTGGGAGGTAACTGAATCATGGGAGCAGGTCCTTCCCATGCTGTTCTCGTGATAGCGATTAAGTCTCACAAGGTCTGATGGTTTTAAAAAGTCTTTCTCTTTGCCTGCTGCCATCCATGTAAAATGGAACTTGCTCCTCCTTGCCTTCCAACATAATTGTCAGGCCTCCCCGGCTGCATGGAACTGTATGTCCATTAAAGCTCTTTTTCTTCCCAGTCTCAGATATGTTATCATCAGCAGCATGAAAATGGACTAATACAGCTGGCCATAGCATTCTGAAGCCATGACACCAGAGCTCTCAGGTGGGCAAGCAGCTGACCCCTGCCATCTCTGCCTCTACTGATCCTTCGAGTAGGAGAATTTGATTGACAGGAAACTGTTTTTGGGGGGGTGGGCTGCATATTGGAAGGACTCCCTCGTGCCATAAAGGAATTAGGAAGCAGACTAGGCTTGCTGTGGCTGACATTTGTGTTCAGCCCCATAGCGACTATCTAGTCTATTGCAGGAGTAAGTAACCTTGTGTTTTAGCAATTTAGCAAATGATCAGACAACCTTAGGCTTTTAGGCTGGGCTTCTTATAAAGTCTCTTTATTAATTAATTCATTCATTCACTCACTCACTGTTGATTTTATTGATCGATGGATCGGAAGGAAGGGAGATGAGGATCCCCAGCCATGGCAGAAGCCGATGTCGCTGGAGTCCATAGGAGGGTCAGGGGGAACAGGACCCAGGCTTGAGATCTCTACCTTTATTCTAAGCAAGGAGAATATGTTAAGGAGGGGTCCCATCTGCTCAGATTTGTTCAACAAGGGTCACTTTAATTGCAACATAGAGAATGGATAATACAGAGGATCCAGTGGGATCGGGGGAGACAAAAATCACTTTATCACTTCCTTAAAACATAGGGTTGAGAGCAATGGTTAATGACTACTGGAAAGTTGAATGTATTTATTAATATACTTACTCATTCAAAAATTGAGAGAGAGAGGGTAGAGAAAACCATCAGAAAGCACTTGTATAATTTGCTCTTTTCTGGATCATGGAATGATCTCCTTCTTTAACGTACTATGTATTTTGGACCCTATTTTCAGAATAGTTCCACGCTATATAAACAGCACTGGGCTAGGCGTTCAGAGACCTGAGTTTCTTCCTGGCTTCCTCTTCATCTCAGCTTCCTGGGTACGTAGTTTTTTCATGATTAAATGTGAGGATCGAATGAGACGAAATAGGAAAAAGACTGAGCAAATGCAAGGGCTCAGAGCACAATCTTGCTTTTCTGAAAGGCATTATTTAAGTGGTGCCTTTAAATAAAAGACATATTATTTGATTGATAGCTATTAAAGTATACATTATTTTTCTGGAACCCTAGCACATAATTATAAGAACACGAGGCTCTATATTATACTCTTTGTTACACACTCAAAATACATATTTGACATCAGACGGAACAGCCACATTTTCCAGGGTAAGCAAAATTATCTTCCATTTCTTGTTGTTCCTTCTCAGAAAGTCTTCTGCAATTTCCTTTGAGGAGCCACACCTTGCTGGAAGGACGTGCTTTTGAAGGTGAGGATACACTCATCCTTTTCTTCTTGAGGAAAGTAAACTGATAGCTTGGAGTGTCCAGGGCAGAGCTGATTTCAAATAACACATTGTTTTCCCCATAAGTACATTTACTTGTGCAGAGTCTTCTGCCCTGATTTTTGGGTCAAGCTTTAAGGCCATTATAATGTTCTGAAACTCTGCAGACATTGTATATTAAAGCAAGTTCAAAGGCAACTGCATGTCCAGGAAACTGGGGGAGTATATTCTCAGTTCATGCATCTCCTGCTCATTCACTGCCTGCCTTGGGGAGATTTCTGAGTAACACTTTCACACTTACAAATTACAAGTGGCAAGGGAGGCTCATTTACACAGGATAACAGAGATTCTACAAAATCCACCATGTAACCAGCCTCTTATTCTCAGCTAGCAAAAATAATTGCTTTACTAACTTATTTTCACAACCACATGGTATCTCAGGCTATCCTTGTTTTAAGAAAACAACCTGGACAGCTTAGGGAAAATTCACTTAATTGCATTTAAAAGGAAACACTGCTTGAGTCCTTTATGGTTCTTCCCCAATCCTTCAGCACCAGCCTCTGCCTTTCCAAGTGATAATTAGGCATTAGAAGTTGGCTGTGTGATCTCAGCCAACTGCTTTTAAAGGGTGTCAGGATTTAAAGAAAGGCTTTGTGTGAAGCTTTTAAAAGAGTGCTAAGTCTCTCACATCTAGGGCCTCCTCATCTCAGGTATCCTGGGATCCTGGTAAATGCCTTCAGAATGAACAAATGGCCAACGGCTTTGCTGGTTCCATTAAAAACGCCTCTTTTAATTTTGAGGCTTCTGTCTGAATGGGCTGCCCTGTAATGCTTTTAATTTCTTTACTTTTTCTTTTCTTTTCTTTCTTTTTTTCTGAGACAGAGTCACACTCTGTTGCCCAGGCTGGAATTCAGTGGTACAGTCACAGCTCACTGCAGCCTCAACCTCCTAGACTCACGAAATCCTCCTACCTCCGCCTCCTGAGTAGCTGAGACTATAGGTGGAAACCACCATGCCCAGTTTATTTTAAATATTTTGTAGAGATATGGTCTCCCTACGTTGTCCAGGCTGGTCTGGAACTCCTGAGTTCAGGTGATCTTCCCACCTTGACCTTCCAAAGTGCTGGGATTACAGGAATGATCCATGGCAACTGGTTCCGTTAATTTATTAATATAACTATTATTCATTTGAAGGGAAGTTGTTCACAATGTACTGAGAATGATTTTCATTGAAATACAATGTTAATCTTAAAATTCTACTTTATCTGGTCAGAAAAAGTCTCAGCAGACAAAGAAAGTGAGGGAGGTTTGGCTTGCACTGAAGTCATCCTGTGATATCCAGGGTAGGTTGTGTTTTGGCTGGCTTTGCCTCTCACCATTCTGTTTATGCTTTTTTGAGACTGGGACTCTATTTATTACAAAGGCTAGTCTCTCAGTTAAGGCCATATAATTGATGAGATCCCCCTACTTGAAGTCTTTCAGATGCTGTGAGTTGATTTCCATAATTACCACCCACTCAATTCTCAGGCAATGAGGGCTTGGCAATAGAAAAGACACAGTCTAAACTCTGAAGGTGTCTTCAAATTATCCTATGTTACAGTTGGATAGCACACTTTAGCTTACGGAACCCTTTGCCATCCATTATCTTACGTAATTTTCAAATATGAACAAGGCAAAGTAAGAATTATTATCTTCATTTTCAAGATAAAGAACGAGACTCAGAGATTTTCCAGGGACTTGCTCAGCACCACAGAGTTGAAGCTAGACCTAAGGCTTTTGTTTCTGCAACAGCCGATCTGCTTTGCACCTTAACCCAGGAAGTCAGTAATGATGACGAGTAGCCTCAGGGATAATCAAGCATCTCGCAGACATGGCTGCAGGTGTACACTGTGTTCATACAGCAAATCTGATAGGATGAGGGAGACTGTGTTTTCTGAGTAAAGATCCCTTGGTAAACATTGCTGTTGTTGGTGATACTATCCTATTATCCAGGGACCTGTAATTGCTTTTGGTTTTGTAAAGCCTTTATGGTGCCTTCCTTCACCTCAACCAGCATACTGGCCACAATTTTATTCCCCTCTGCCCAAAGCTGTGGTTGGGGCATCAGAAGTAAGAGAAGTAGAGAATAGAGCACCGGAATAAAAAAGGCGAGATCATTAGGAACACAAGATGCATCGTCACTAAGGGGACTCCAAACTCAAGTCAATGGATGATATCCTCCAGGCGGGGCAAATGGCAAACGGGAAAGATGCTCCTTCTAAAATGGGCATCCAGGACACAGTTCCAGCTGATGCTGCCATGATTCTAATCAGGCCCATCGAGAGCTCTTGAGATATTCTTCCAAGAGAATCTGAAACTTCAGAATTTTACATCATTTCTCCTGACTGGATTGTTAAATGTGAACAGCAAATTCAAACATTTAAAAATTTCTGCAGGTCAAAGAAAAACAAAAGCAAAACAAAACAAAACTGTGTGAGTCTCTTTTGCAACCTCTGCTCTTAACAATTGTGAATAAACTGGGTATTTTTAGGAAAAATGCACGAGGACAGAGATGTGAATGATGTATCTTTATTTCTGGCAAGGTCTTGCATCTTTTCCACCTTTGTGAGAACAGAAAGACAGAAGGGATTAGACAGTTGGAGCCAGCATACATACAGAGCTATCAAATCATCACTCTTAGGTGTGATGATTTGAATATCTACTTTTCCTGCTTCTGATAATAGTTCTCACCTCCCTCCTGTCTGTTGCCTGGTGGGTGAGGCCTGCGTGCCTTCCCCGGGGCATCCACAGATTGCAGGCTTTATGGTGTAATGGCTTTATGGCAAGGACAATATACAGACCTCTTCTCACTAGCTAACACCATATTCTCCCCTCTCATCCAGGAAAGTGTACTGGAGTCTAAATAAGTGAGAATGCTAAAAATAACAGAATGGCTTTCAATTGACCTTAACTTTTTTAAGCAAATTCATCACAAACATTGGTATTTTATCTATCCTTGGTAATGACTCACTTGTGACACGACTCACAAATGTTGGCACAGCATGTTTAAGAAACATTTTTAAAAACAAAAATAAATTTGAAGATATACTGCTAAGCTTCCTACACAGATCAGCACTCTCTTCCGCTGGTATCATCAGCCAAGGCATGGTAGGCTGGGTTGTCTCCCTCAGCTCATAAATTCACATTTAGAGTATCTGTGACAAGGATCTTAGGAATATCACCAGAGACAGCTGGACTCTTAGGATAGTACAGGAGAAATGAAAGACCTTGTTCTCCAAAGCAATCAGTGAGTTAGAGTCCAAACGTTCTCACCTCTCTCACTGGTGATAGGGAACCCCACTTGTACTGGTGATTGGATAATGCCAAGTCAAGTCCTACCCAGCAGTGAAAACCAAGAAGGATCCTAGGTAACCCATGATCTTTGCTTCATGAATTGATCCAGAAGATGCAGAAACTGAATATCAGTGCTTTCCCTGTTACCTCCTCATGTAAAATGATCTGTTTCTTTTCCACTGCATTGGAAAATAAAAATTCAAAACACGGAATGGAAACCATATTCAGAAAGAAGAGAGAGACAAAGAGATGACTGTCAATTTGATGTCAAACATCTCCTGGGAAGAAGGTGTCTGAATCTTAAAATCAGACTATGATAAAAATGAGAGCAGAAATGAGTCTATTTTTTTCTCTAGGTCACCATAGGGAACCAATCTAACCTATTTACAAGTGGTCTCAGGGGAACTATCTTTAAATAGCTATCTTGTCACCATCCTTTTCGTCATCTTCCACGATTGCTTTGGGTTTCTCGTCCCTGAGCAATGTCACACCTGCAAAACAAAGCACAGACCTGCAATTAAGTGCCTCTAATTAAAACATTAGGCAACCTTGCAGATAGACACAGTACAAAGGAGCATGGCAACCCAGAAACCTGTTAGTGTCTGCAAAGCGAACTATTAAAAGTGCTGTCCCAGAGAGGGAGCTGAGTGGCCTTATCTGGCCTTCGTAGAGATGCTCAATGAGGACACAACTCTGGTTACAAAGGGACGCACCACCTGGGAGTCAGAAGCAACCTTCATTCTCTTCTCTAAGGTCCACTCCTAAGCTCGTGGCATGGTGGGATGGAAAGTATTCAGTTGCTTTGCACCCATGGTTCTGCCTCTCACCTAATCTGTGTTGGGCCAGAAAACACATTCACACCCGAATCTTCTCAATATAAAATGAGGACAGTAACAATTATTATAAAGGGTTACTGTGACAGTGAAATAAGACATATGTAATAATGCTTAACCCAGAGCAACTAATTGTCGGCTTTTCCTTTCCCATCAATATTTGCTCCTTTATTTTCCTTTTGAAAAGAACTAGTAAGCCTCAGGAAGTCAAACTTAAAAGCATTTTACTACATCCAGGGAAATATTGAGCTCAGGCTCTGGACATGCCATTTCCAAACGTTGGTACTGTACCATGAGGTGATGACATTCACACGGTTCAAAGCAAGATGAGAAAATATGGAAAGTGTACTGAGTTATTCATACAGCTGCATGCCTATACTTTTAAAAGCTGTTCTTTATTTTGACATAATTTTTCCTTCTTTTGGGGATTAAAGTATCCTTTCTTTAACGAAATTTTAGAGACATTAGAAGGTTTTTTAAATGCATCCTTATAAAGCAAAATAAAAAGTTGCTGTTCCTATGTTGGGTTCCACACTACTTAGTTTTAAAAGTTTACTGGGCCGGGCGCAGTGGCTTATGCCTGTAATCCTAGCACTTTGGGAGGCTGAGGTGGGCAGATCGCCTGAGGTCAGGAGTTCAAGACCAGCCTGGGCAACATGATGAAACCCCATCTCTACTAAAAACACAAAAATTAGCTAGGGGTGGTGGCGGATGCCTGTAATCCTAGCTACTCGGGAGACTGAGGCAGGAGAATCACTTGAACCCGGGAGGCGGAGGTTGCAGTGAGCCAAGATTGCACCACTACACTCCAACCTGGGCGACAGAGCAAGACTCCATCTCAAAACAAAAACAAAAACAAAACAAACAAACGAGAAACGTTTACTGGTTTGTGAAATTCAGAAGTCTCAAAAGACTCCATCTCAAAAACAAAAACAAAATGAAAAAACAAACAAAAAAAGTTTACTGGTTTGTGAAATTCAAAAGTCTGAGCACAATTTTCTGGACTAATCAGCACAGAAAGGACCAGCCAAGGAGGTCCATGTGGTTCTGCTCATCCTGTGAAGTGTAAAGTAAGGTCATTTTAAAGAAAGGTCAAAGGAAGCTGTGATGGAAGGCTAGTCTTCCATGGTCCCTGCCATCCCAGTCCAGCCAGCTTCCCCACCACTGCCTCGCACTGCCCCCTTCCTTCTTCTCATAATGAGAGGCCTTCCAGTCCATGAAGCTTTTCATAAAGATCTGCACGGGAGAAAGAGAAGCTGTGCACCACAAGAGGCCTTTCTACCACGCTGGATTCCATTCAACAGCAGCGAATTAACGAACACTATGTGTTGATCTTAATGACCGTTCATTTGTTTCAGTTCCTAGTTTGTTCACATGGGTTCTTCACCAATTAGCTGGTATTTATTGGAGGAGAAAAACAATTTCAAGAGTCTGGCTGAAACTAAGGCTTTTGCATAAATCACTTATGAAACAGTGGGAGATATTTTCTCGTATACCACCTGCATAGAGATTTGGACTTCGATTTGGAATTAAGGCTAGTATGGCAGGAGAATGTAGAGTTAGCTATGCTGAGCACCAAAATTTTTCGTCCTTCCTTCTTTGATATCTCTTCACATTAAGCCAAAATTGAGTTGATTCAAAATGGCAAGAGCCTTTAAGTTCCAAAATCCAGGCCAACTTTCTGTTTTTTGGGGGGGTACCAGGGGAACAATCATATGAGACTCTGCTCCTTGCTGACTTCCCCAAAAGTTGTGAGATTTCAGGAATAGGAAAAGCCTGTTAAGTCATCACAGCCAGCCCCTCACAAAGTAGGCTAGGCTGTCCACAGGAGCACAGGAGATAATTTCAAGTAGAGAGTGAACTAGCATTTTATATTAATATAGTTAAGAATTAGTTTTAATGCCTTATAATGAAAAAATACATGGTAGCCCATAGAAATCTTCATTTCATGAATATCATTGCTCAGGATGAACCTTAAATCAGGAGAATCTACATGTCACCACAGCATTCTTGTTCTTGATGCTTTGTTGACATGAAGATGGCCTGGGTTTGGGAAGCATTAGTCTGGTTTGACCTCTTTCTGATCCTCCTGCTTTCAGGAGAAGCAGAGGTGTACCATTAAAGGAATGCAGATCCTGGAGCCAGAAGGCTTTGCCTTTGGTGATCATTAAGCCTTGAGCACTCACTTAACCTATTTGAGCCTCAGTTTATTCACCTGTAAAATTGGAGAAAAAATAATTTGTATCTTCCAGAGTATGATGTCCCCAAACAGACTTAGGCCCACATTGTGGCTGTGGCACATTGTACCTGAACCTCTGTTATAGCATATTTCACATTGTAGGAATCATTGGACAATACATCCTTCTCCCCTATTGAAACGTGAGTTTCCCTAAAGATATTCTAATACCTGCCATAAGCCTTAGAATGCAGTAGGAATTTAGCAAATGTCATTTTCTTCCCTTCATACTCTCTCTCTATACAGAAGAGTTTAGAGAACTTGGCTGTTTGTAAGAGCTTAGTGGGTTTTAGGCTGCCAGTCCAAAGTCTCCAAGGGCCAATCAACTTTGCAGCAACTCCAACCTGTTTTAGAGCATGATCCCATCCAGAGCACCAGCTAAAAGAGTTTATGCATATTACATTATGGCCTCGGGAAGCCAGGGCTAGGACACCACCTCTTTTGATAAATCACACCAAAGAAATCTTCTATTCCCAGCAAGACGGAAGAGGTGTTACTTTCAATAGACAGACTGATCCCTTTTCAGTGTAGAAGTACAGGATTTTGTTCTTTGATGTCCCAAACTGCCCAAATGTCCACAGCTCATGTACAATTTTCTAGGAGGGTTCTCTTCGATGTTTTCAGCCCTCATTATTCTTTTTGCATGGTTCCATTTGCTACAAACTTCTACTGACTTCTTTTGTTCTTAAGCAGGCCTTGGTTACCCAGATCTGACTAATCAGAACCAATGCTCTCTGCCATGCAGTCATGGAGGTGAGGGCCCTTGGCAACCACAGGCTGAGTTGGGAGTAAGACTGGGGCTGGCAGAGAAACTTGAGATGTCCCCCTTCGAAGGGCTGTGCTGGCAGTTGGAGCCTGTCAAATAAGCTCATTAGCTGAGGGGAGTGGAGGTAGTTAGCAAGAGATTTAGAAGAGAGAGTGGATCCTTGTCCAGTTTTCACTTGCCAAGGGTAATGAAAGACGATGTCTCCAGAGTGTATTTGTCTGTGAGCTTCTCTCAATATCCTTATTAGAACCAATGTGAGTCCTTCTGAACATCTGCCGAAGGCTCTGTCCTTATCAGCTTAACTACCATTTCGTTTACTGCCAAATCTTTAGCTACTAAAAGGCTCTTCAGAAATAAAGTACTTCAGCTAATATGCTAATGAAAGCTAGAATCACGCAATATCTGTAATCGTACCTACTTATGACATAGAGATTTGTTAATGCAAGCAATTTCACAACGTATACAGATGCTGGGGGTATACAGTCTCTCCCACTCCCCATTCCCAACTCCTGTTTACTCTGTATTGTTTAATAAACATTTTTGATTCAATAGGGAAGCTACTCTCATAAGATATAGATATTGGGGTGTAGGCAGCACTCATGCCAGGTAAACAGAGCTCAACCTGTTGGGAAGTTCCTTGAATGGATAGGTTTATACAGAGAGGTAAAATGCTGTGGCCTACAAAAGTCTCACCTTCAGAATTGGTTTGATTTATCTCAAAGAATATAAGATTGAATAGAGAATGGAAGAAACTATCATTTATTGAGAGTTTTTGGTATGCCAAGAATGCTGCTAAGTGGTTTATGTACTTTATTTAATTGTGTTAACAATCCTGGGAGACATATTTACGGTCCCCTTTTAGATTTATGGGCAAAATGAAGGAAGCTTTTACAGTTTATGCTAATTGTCCAGGGTCACAAAGCCAGTATGGAGCAGAACCAGAGATGAAACCTAGACGTTTGTGACTCCAAAGTCCATGCTCAATTTTGTATGCCAGGATGACTCCCTGCCCATAGATATTCTTGTACGTCTACCAAGTCTTCTTCTCCTAGAAGGTCTTCAATAAAAACATACAAGCATGAATGGAAAATAATCAGTCTCTATCAGGTAATACAAAATTGTGATTGCCAGATAAAACATCAAACCAGCATATATGTAGTGAGTAGTGTTATGTAGAAATGATTGGACTAGATATCAAGATCAATATCAGAAACATAAGGCCGTCACAGACAGTCCTCATGAATTCATCATTGCAAGTCATTGATGTAAGTCAATCTAAGTAGCAGCGACAAGAACAGCAACAAGAAGAATAAAGACAATACTAAAAGAGATGACAATGTTTTGGATATGTGCATGCCTGTGACTAATAGGGAGTTAGTTAAGAACAGAAAAGAGTCATTTTGGACCTGAAGGGGTCTTATAGCAGAGGCTTTGAGCTGGCTGACTCTTGCCAGGTAATTGGGACCTGAACAGAGGCAGAGCTTGAGGGAAACATGTGATGGATTACAAGATTTGCCTAGGTAGGAATGCATTTTACCTGTAAGAAACACAGACGAGGCAGGTTCAGAGCCTCCCCTGGTCCTTGGACCATTTCTCATTACTCCTCATGCTCTCTCTGTACCACCTTATCTAGCTCTGCTCCTTCCTAGCAAGTCT